ATCAGAAAAAGAAAAAAGGACTTTTTAAAGTTGAAGTGAGGACAATTGCCTTCAATTTTGGATAATCATATGAAAAAACAACTACTCAAACTACATACTTGTATTAGTATACTTGATTGTTGAATTCCTCTTACATTGGAGAAAGTACTTTGCTTTTTAGTATACTCTGTAATATGAAATTTTGACTTACAACATATATAAAAGTATATTATATTAGAAACAAAGAGCCATGCATATGTCATTATAACTATATTTTACAATGAAACAAGTAAGGCAAAATTGGCCCTTGGACACTAAAAGTGGAGGTCATTTCTTTGGCGGACACTTAAAGTGGAGCCATTTCTTTGAAAAGACACTCTAGTTATTGACAATTATCTTTGCTAGACACGCGCGCCCTTATTTTATTCATTTCCTTTGGTTGAGGAGAGAAAAATGTGGAGAAATGTCATTCTTGCCCCTACCTCTTTCTTCATCCTCTCTCTCGCATTCTTTTTTTTTTTCTGTGGCGGTGAGCGGGCTGGGGCGAAAGTGTGGGGGGCGGCGCAGGCTTCTGCTGCGTGAGGGCGCGCTGACTGGCGGGGCTTCTTCGGAGGTGGCTGGCTGCGCGGCCTAGGAGCCGGAGCTGGCGCTCTCCTCGCGCTGCCTTCGCGCGCGCTTCCGCACCATGCCGTGTCCGTCCAGATCTTGGCCAGCCCGTGGGGATCTTCCGCGCCATGGCCTGGAGCTGAGCAGTGGGACGCTGACCGACGGTGGCAGGTGCGATAAAACGGTATCGAGGGCGCTAGTGCCCATGGAGGAGAGCAGTAGTGACATGGCCGCCATCGCTCGTCGGCAGGGTCGTAGGGACAGGGCAGCCTCTTGGCCATGGGCGTCTGGCTGCTAACACCTTGTATGCCGTGGAAGGAGAAAAGAAAGAAGCAGTTGCAGGGTCCAGCGTCGTCGCCGACGACAACTCCGTCAAGCTCACCAATACGCTGCACAGGAAGTTCGGCCTGCAGAGAATGTGCAGGTCGCCGAAGCCAAGAAGGAGGAGGGCGACAACAAGCCTCTGGCCCCTGCCGCCGCCGTTGCAGCATTGCCCCACTTAGTCGCGTCGAGCCCATGGTATTACCAAAGTGATTACCATGATCGTCGTCGCCTACGGTCTCTGAGCATCTCGGCAGTGCAGCAGAGGGATACCATATGCAGACTGACATTAAAAAAAGGAAAGGAGAGAGGAAGAAGAAAGAGGGGGGCAAGATTGTCATTTCCCCACCTTTCTCTCTCTCAACAAAGTGAAAATAAATAAAATAAGAGGCGAGTGTCTAGTAGCATAATTGTCAATAACGAGTGTCTTTCAAACAAATGGCTCTACTTTGGGTGTCCGCTGAGTAAACGACCTCCACTTTTTAGTGTCCCTACGGCGCTTTTGCCAACAAGTAAATATTGACATTTGTCAATCTATAAATTCAAGATATTTATATACTTATGGTAAAAAGTTTGACTTAAAACCTAGATTGACTTGAGGAAGTAGTTTTATGGTGTTCTCACTTAAGTGTCCCGATAAAATTGTAGTGCTCTTGCCTTTGCCAAAACTTTCTCCTCTTGATAATTTTCCTGTCTATTTTTTTAAAATCCTAGTATTCATCTTATAAGGGATTGAATGTAAAGTATGTTGATTACTATTGTGGAAACAACTAGTATTAGCTCCATTGTTCATCTAGATTCCTTTACACTTTTGGATGCAATATCGAGCTCCATTGAACTGAGTTTCTTTTGGGAAAATCACAGGTAAAAATAATTCAGAGGGCAAGCTTTTTGGAATCATATTGCCTATAGTGTTTGTTGTTGTAGTAACTGCCATAGCCCTCTATGTTTGTAAAAAGAAGATCTCAAAGAATAAAGCTACCCCATGGAAGTAAGTCCTATATACTGCTTGGTATGACCCTATAATAACTTTTATTATTTAGCACCGACAATTGAAATGCGCTTAAATTTACCAGCTCATACGGTTGAGGACTTGGAAGCATCAAGTCAACATTATTATCATTATCATCACTACAAGTTGCAACAAATAACTTTGATGAAAGCAATAAACTTGGTGAAGGGGGATTCGGTGTAGTTTATAAGGTATGATGACACCCTTTCAATACTTTCTCATGTGCAAGTTTGTAGCAAGCTTTTATGTAAAAGAATATGCATGATTACTGGACAACATACATCAATTGGTTTATACAAAGGATTGTTAGAGTATGACTATAAAGCATCAACTTAGAACTCAAGTTCATTAAAAAGTAATCGTACTCAATTATTGTGAATTGTAATACATGAAGCTTTTAGAACTTTTTAGCATTTATATTGTATTGTTTAATCAACTTCATGGAAGATAATAATTTTTTGTAGGGAGATCTTTCCGGACAGGAAGTGGCTGTGAAGAGGATGTCAAAGGGTTCGGATCAGGGGCTAGAAGAACTAAAAAACGAACTAGTTCTGGTTGCCAAACTTCACCACAAGAACCTCGTTCGCCTAGAAGGTTTCTGCTTAGAAGAGGGAGAAAGATTGCTTGTCTATGAGTACATGCCCAACAAAAGCCTCGATACTATTCTTTTTGGTACTAAAATAATCTTTACAAAAGAATTTATAATTTTTTAGCATCTCTACTTGTGCTATAACGTCAAAATTTTGATTGTTTGTTAGACCCTGAGGAAAAAATACAACTAGATTGGAGGAAACGGTTCAATATAATAGAAGGAGTTGCTAGAGGATTACAATATCTCCACGAGGAATCTCAAAAGAAGATAATCCATCGCGACATGAAAGCGAGCAATGTTTTGTTGGATGCAGACATGAACCCTAAGATTGGAGACTTTGGCCTAGCTAGGCTCTTTGGGCAAGATCAGACTAGAGATGTCACAAAACACATTGTTGGGACATTGTAATCAATCTTTATTATCTAGTAGCTATTATTTAAGTCTCCCCTTTTCTGACACATAATTCTCTCTAACTAACCATGTCGCTAATTCTTCTCGTCGCAGTGGCTACATGTCTCCTGAGTACGTGATGCGTGGGCAGTTTTCCACAAAATCAGATGTGTTCAGTTTCGGGATCCTTGTTATAGAGATCGTAACAGGGCGGAGAAACACAGGGCATTACTTCTATGATGAGCAAAATGAAGATATTATAAGCCTTGTGAGTTCCAACAAACACACACTATATATCGTACATGTAATAGTACATGTATGTTGCTAGATTATATTGTTTCTCATTGTGAACCGATGAAACCGATGCTAGGTATGGAGGCACTGGACCGAGGGAACAATTGCAGAGATGATAGATGATTCTCTGGGGAGAAATTACTCAGAGACCGAGGTGCTAAAATGCGTTAACATTGGTTTGTTGTGCCTTCAGCAGAGTCCCATGGACCGACCTACGATGTCTGATGTCATGGTGATGCTCAGTGGTGATGATGATACTAGTTCTCTACCACCTGCTGCGAGACCCACATTTTTCTTGGATAGAAGCACAGGTTACTCCTATAATTCATGTACTATTACGCATCTGTCTGCCAGATAGCACATGCGTTTGTGGATCGTAGCACATTGTTACTTGTTTACTTCTTGATGTATAGTAGTTCAGATCAACTAGTTCAATTCATCACAAAGTGTGATCTGTAGTTACCAATTGTAATTGTGGTTACAAAAAAGTTTGGCCATTCTAACACCAATCTCACACAGATCTTTCTCAGCCACCCAACCTTTTCAATTTGATGGCTATCTTCCTCTATTGAAGCAAAGTAGAAGGCAGTAGGCATCATCCAAATGGGGAAATTTTAACTGTGCTTGCAAATATGTGATCACAGATTATTCCCTCTCACGTCTTCTCACAAGTTGCGTTCCGTTCGGTTCTGGGGGACTTTCCATCCAAAAGGAAAAACTAAAAAGATTTGGCCGCCCATGCGGGGGATTAGAGACGCGATTCCGCTGCCAAAGGGGAAGAAACGCTGTAGCCTGTGAGTAGCATCCAATTGCAAACACAAGGCAGTGCAGTGTGCAGTGTGCGGTGTGCTGCAGCCTGCTTGTGTCTGGCGTCAAGTACGTATCGTGTTCGCAGGTGCTCAGGTTGCGTCGCGTCGCGGGAATGCATGCGCGCCTTGATCGGGTCCGCAGTCCCTATTGACGCCGCCGCGCGCCGTGTTGATCGTCCGCTGCCCCGCCCAACCCAAGGGGCTCGTGTTCAAGGTGACGATTCGAAGATGGCGCGGACTTGAGTCTTGAGGTACGGTGTGTGGGTGTGGACCTTCAACTCTGAACATAGTACTCTACTGCAAAGTCCGTCCGCAACGACATTATTTACAAGAATTAGTACGTGTATACAGACAAGCAGTTGCAACGACTTGACCTCTCGTTGTTTTGTGCGACCTCAGCTTGTTCGTCTGATATTAAAGCCGATTGATAAGTCGGTTGAAGCTGTTTTGTTGTGAGAAAAAAATACTATAAATTAACTAATAAGTTAGCTGAAGCGAACAGGCCAGAAGAAACCACCACTCACCAGCCGCGCCGCTGTCTTCTCTTCCGGCAAGCTATACCCCTTTTTTAATGTCCGTGATATCAGCTTCAAGTGCAGCTCTTCTGGTCACTACAGACTGGACCAAAATATCAGTACTACCAAGTTGAAACACGTGCATGCAGATGCAGCTGCTCTGGTCAGGTTTCTACGAAACTGGGCAAGCAACTTGCAGCTCCTCTTTCCGTCAGCTTTTGCCTTTTGGAATTCGCTTCCATTTCGTCGTCGTCCTCCAACTTCCAAAGAGAACGCATCGGCAAGAGTCGCCAGCAAGTCGCTGTTATATGGAGGGAGACCCACCCAGCTGCCTGCTATCATATATACTAGTACCGGCTACCGATGCCACTGCCACGCATGCATCCCTGATGGTGCATTTATCCTCTCTGAGCTCCTCTCCGTGCCAAGTTTCTCTGCATCCAACGATCCAGCTCACCGGTTCTCCCTCCTTCGCGTGCGCTATGCACGGCCGCGCCCTTCGCACCCCCGCCCTGCTAGCAGCAGCGCTGCTGGCGTCGGCCGTCACGCTCACGCTTCTCCCCTCCGCCGCCGCGCAGCCGTGGGTTGCCCCGTGGCCGAAGTGCAACGACACCACGGGCAACTACTCGGCCGGCAGCGCCTACGCCAACAGCATCAAGCAGCTCATCCACAACCTCCAGACGAACGCGTCCAACACGCCCGCCCTCTTCGCGACGGGCTCCGCCGGCGCAGGACCGGACACCGTCTACGGGCTCATACTCTGCCGCGGCGACCTCAGCCCCACCGACTGCTTCGACTGCGGCACCAAAGCCGGCCAGGACGTGTACCGGGTCTGCAACCACACGCGGGACGCGGCGCTCGTCTACAACCAGTGCTACGTCCGCCTCGCCCCGACGGACTTCCTCGCCTCCATCAACAACACCGGCATGGTGGGCCTCATCAGCGGCGAAAGCGTCCCCGCAGGCGTCGACGTCGCGGCCTACGACGGCGCTGTCACCAGGCTGCTCAACGCCACCGTGCGGTATGCGGTGGACAGCTCGGCCCCGTCGTCGTCCCTGAGGAAGTACTTCGCCACGGGGCAGATGGTGGGGCTCGACCCGCAGCTGCAGCTCCGGACGGGCATCTGGTCCATGGCGCAGTGCGCGGGGGACATATCGCCGGCGCAGTGCCGGAGCTGCCTGGACGACTTGCTGGCGCAGTGGTGGGAAGAGTTCGACCGCAACGAGACCGGCGCCAGGCTCGACGGTTCGCGATGCAACCTGAGGTTTGAAACGGGAACTTCTACACCGGCGTCCCGATGGTGAAGCTGCAGATGAACGGCGAGGGGCCGCTCCAGCGCCGGCGCCTTCGACGGATGTTGTAGCTGGCACCACCGCAGGTGAGTGCTTAATTGCTTATTCCTCTAGATTAACTCGATTACTTAATTCTCACCAATATTTTACATAAATAAATAATAACTCCTAATTATCCACCTTACCATTATGAAAGATAATTCAAAATAAACCTCCTAAATTTGCACCAAAATTACCTACCTCTTCTATTATGAAAAATAATTCAAAATAATCCTAGATATTTTTATAAATTACCTCTGATATCTTTCATAATGGCATAAGTGGATAATTTAGATATAAATTTAGGGTGTTAGATATGGGCAATTTAGATGTTACTTTATGTATTTTTATAGTGATGACAGAGATGTGTAATTTTTAATACAACAGGATAGGTCCAATGGCTCTATTGTTTGGGATGATGATTAGTGTACAAATTAAACGTTAGATGCTTTCGATTATTGTGAGATCTCTGGGATGTATCTTTTTCCCATGACACTAACGTGGAGGCTCTGGTCGAGCATAAAATTAGTAATAGTAAGATTGAACAACATCAATCACAATGGTGAGCATGACAAAAGGAAGTTGACACATCAATTGCTAGACAAACCTAAATTGAATTTTTCTTTTTTGGCAAAATCACAGGTAAAAAAAATTCAGTTGGCAAACTTCTCAGAATTATATTGCCAATAGTATCTGTTGCTGTAATAGCTGTCGTAGTCCTCTCCATATGGATTGTTTGTAAGAAGAGAACATCTCAAGGAACAAATATTCCCCACCAAAGTAAGTCCTTTGTATAGTTTGGTATCAAGTATATTACCTTTTGGTCTTTAAGCATTCAAAACTAAATCGGTGCAAATTTACTAGCTTATATGGCTGAGGACTTCGAAAGCATCAAGTCGATATTGTTATCGCTGTCATCGCTACAAGTAGCAACAAATAACTTTGATGAAAGCAATAAACTAGGTGAAGGGGGATTCGGTGCAGTTTACAAGGTATGATGACACCCTCTTCATTAATAGTTCCTTTACAAGTTTGTAGCAAGATTTATGTAAAAGAGTCCGTGTGATTGCTGTACAATGTACATGAGATAGTTGGTTCATACCAAATTGTCAAAATTTGAAACAAACAAATGTATAAATCATGGGCTTTGTACTCATGTTTTTCTAAAAAAAATTATATCAAGTATTATGACTTATAATACTTAAAACTTTTGGAACATTTTAGCATTTTATATTATGTTCATTTAATTAACTCATGGCGATAATAAAATCTACGTAGGGACATCTTTCCGGACGGGAAGTGGCTGTGAAGAGGCTGTCAAAGGGTTCAGACCAAGGACTAGAAGAACTAAAAAATGAGCTAGTTTTGGTGGCCAAACTTCATCACAAGAACCTTGTTCGTTTGGAGGGTTTCTGCTTAGAAGAGGGAGAGAGGTTGCTCGTCTATGAGTACATGCCCAACAAAAGCCTCGACAATATTCTTTTTGGTACTAGAAATAATCTTCCCAAAGAATATACACAACATTTTTGTACTTGTAGTAATCTTAAATTTTGGTTGCCATTTAGATCACGAGGAGAAAAGACGACTAGATTGGAGGAATCGATTCAACATAATAGAAGGAGTTGCGTGGATTGCAATATCTTCATGAAGACTCTCAAAAGAAGATAGTCCACCGTGACTTGAAAGCGAGCAACATTTTGTTGGATTCACACATGAACCCTAAGATTGGTGACTTTGGCCTAGCCAGGCTCTTTGGGCAAGATCAGACTCGAGACGTCACAAACAACATCGTCGGGACATTGTAATCAATCATTATCATCTAGTAGTTAATCGTTCAATGTTTGATTTAAATACATAATGCAATCTAATTGACCATGTTGCTAATTCTTCTTGTTGCAGTGGCTACATGTCTCCCGAGTACGTGATGCGTGGACAATACTCCACAAAATCAGATGTATTTAGTTTCGGCATCCTTGTTATAGAGATTGTAACAGGACAGAAAAACGCTGGGCATTACATCGACGAGCAAAATGAGGATATTATAAGCATTGTGAGTGTTTGCCCATAAACACACTATCCTGCCTGTAAGACTACTTGCAAAATTCTAGATTATATTGTTGCTGATTGTGAACACATGAAATCAATGCTAGGTATGGAAGCACTGGACGGAGGGGCGCTTGTAGAGATTATAGATGATTCTCTAGGGAGAAACTACTCGAAGACTGAGGTGCTAAAATGCGTTAACATTGGCCTGTGGTGCCTTCAACAGAATCCCATGGATCGACCTACGATGTCGGATGTCATGGTGATGCTCAATGATGTTGATACTAGTTCTCTGCCTGCTTCTGCAAGGCCAACTTTTTTCTTAGATGCAAGCTCTGGTTACTCTTACACTTCAGGTACTATTTCACACCCTTCTGCCAGGTAGTGTAGGCTGAGGCCTAATGCACACCTATTGCTTGTTGTATATTAGTTGCAAAATAAACATGGAATTCACCATGATTTGTAATGTGCTCACTAATCACTATAGTTTCTTACTAAATTCTCAATTATAAAGTTTCTCTTACTAGAGGCCCCGCGGGCTTTCAAAAAAGTATGGAAATGCTTACTCATTGGAAAATTGGAAAAGGTTGTGCTCACTATATATATATCCTTCTCTCCCAACTATTCCCATTGTTTTCTTGAGTGATTATTTGAGAAATTATGCTCTATGGTGAATGAAAAATGTTGTGAGCAAGATCTCGATCATTGAGCACTTGTTACTTTGTTAATTAAGACACTGAATTTGTTACCCTTAGAGCTTGGCTCCTAGATGGCTAGGCATCTCCCATTAAAGCACCGAAGCTCTGTAGAGTGATTAGGAAATTTTGTACTGCCCTGACAAATCTAGCAAAAACCCTCAAACCCGATCTTTGTCAATCACTCGAAGAAGAGATAGGGTTGGATGGAACCTAATAATTCTTCTTTATTTTGTCTCAAAAGAAACGTTGTTTCATCATGTATTCCTATATGTAAGTTATTCTTTATTCATATATTCTCTTTTGGTAAGAGAGATAAGGGAACTATGTTTCTCACTAGATATATGCCCGTGCGTTGCACGAGGCAACAAATTTGTATCCATTTGTACAATTATACACGTGTCTTATGGTTTAGACAAACATACTAACAATTTTTCATCCATGTCTATGACGATGCATATGGCTTGTGGTTTAGATGAACATATAAAGAAATATACAAATTTGATTACATAAAACATATTTCATGATCTTTATGACATATATCGTGTAGATCTGGTTTATAGAAACCTAACAAAATTTGTTTCATTTTTAATTATCATTTCTGTGTTTTATTATTATACATTTTCAAAATTTAATAAAATCTAATAAACACTTTTTGCATTGGAACCCTAAACGGTTTCTAAATTCATCTGGTTTTCCTTCTTCTATGTGGATGTGGTAGACTAACGGGCTAAGTTGTTACGTGCGGGCATCTGGTGAATCACCACGCAACGGAGTCGTCTGTTACGTGTGGGCAGAAGGTCTATCCGTTCGGGCCACGGGCCATGGCATGTCGTTCCTTCGTTCCTGCTCTCGCACGAGGGCGAGCGGGTTGTAGACGCGCGGCCGCACGCGCACGAGGCAAGCGGGGCGCAGAGGCGCGGGCACACGCGCACGGGCGGGCGAGCGTTGGCAGGTGCCCACCGCCGGCGGCATAGGCTGGAGCTAGGGCGCGCACGGGGCGAAGCGGAGCACACGATGAGCACGTCGCAGAGCGCGGCAAGCCCGCGGCCACCGCTAGCATGTACTGTAGCATCACGTCGCCCGAGTACATGGCGTGACGCGTGCTCCCGCGTATGCCGGGACTACGCACGGTAGTAGGCAGCAGGTCGCAGGTGTCCGCCGCCGCCAACGTAGGCTGTAGCTAGGGCGCGCGTGGCGTGTTTTTTTTTTGCTGGGAGGTGGGCCTCGACGGGTGGGGCGAGGCGGGAGCGTGCAGGATTCACGTACTGGACCGTGCGTGATCTTTTTTATTGTGGTAAAGCCCTTGCTGAATTTCTCTGTTTGAATATGTGCCTGATCTGTTTCATCAGCATGTAATTAGTTCTTTATATGATTTTCGTTGTGGAAGAGTTTTGAAGACGTTTTTTTTGCCATATATGATTTTCGACGTGGAAGAGTTTGTTACGGAAACATGTTTTTTTTGTGGTATATGTTTTTTTCAGAGTTTTTTTTTGTCGTATAGGATTTTTTTTGGAAACGGGACTGTGGTTTTTTTTGCCGTATATATATTTTTACCGTATATAGGCTGGGGCGGAGTGACAGACGATAGCCAATGGAATATTTTAAGTGGTATAGTAGATTGGGACGCATACAAAGTTTAGCTCTTCTCTTCCTATACTATAGCTCAAAAAGTTCTGTCCTGAACGAAACCGAGATGCCGGCTGCATAGTTTGACCTTCCTTGTCTTTGATTTAAATATATATAAACGTGACATATAACAGCTAGCTGTAGCCGTCGAGCGCTTCTACATGTATGATTGCATTATTGCTCTCACGCGGTGTACTCGCCCGACGATGTGATGCTAGCTGGAGGTGGCCGGCGCCCTGTTCCTGGCGTAGAACGCCGGGTTGGACGGGTTCCAAAGGGAGACCGTGTCGCTACCGAGCATCATGACGACGGACGACATCACCGGCCGGTCTGCCGGGTCTTCCTGGACGCATAGCAGACCAATGTGGATGCACCTTAGCACGTCGCTCCGGGAGAAGCAGCTTCCCAGGCACGGGTCTACGATGGCCTCCGACACCACCCCGGCCGTCCAGTGGTCCCATACCTGCACCATGCATGCATGTGTGCATCGATCGAGGATGCATGGTTTAGTCAAGGGTAAAGACATCTCAGCAAGAAAGAACACGAAAGGGTTATGTTACGAACACTTGAGCAGGAAGGAAGCACTCACGAGGCTCAAGAGATCGTCTTCAGGCGATCGCCAGGCGTCATCCCGGCAGACGTTGTGCTTCTTTCCCGTCACGATCTCAAGGACCATGACGCCGAAGCTGAACACGTCTGACTTGACGGAGTAGTTCCCGCGCATCACGTACTCCGGCGCCATGTAACCGCTGTAATGGATGGGAATAGACATCCAAAATCTAGTCAAGATCGTCGTCCCTGGATCTGGTCACCTGCCTATTAATTCGAGGAGCTTCTAGGTGGCGGAGACGGCACTCACTAGGTACCAACGACATGATTGGTGACACCCTGCGTCTGGTCTCGTCTGAAAAGCCTCGCAAGGCCGAAGTCCGAAATCTTGGGGTTCATGTTCATGTCCAGCAAGATGTTGCTCGCTTTCAGATCACGGTGGACTACTTTGAGCTGAGAGTCTTCGTGCAGATACTGCAGGCCCCGAGCTATCCCGTGTATGATGTTGCACCTCATTGCCCAGTCCAGCTGTTCACGCTTCTCAGTGTCTGCCCAAAGTAAGGAAATTAAAAGCAGGAGCGAATCATCAAGTTTTAATGTCAGATTTTACAGAGGAAGATCGAAGATATGGAGGATGACGATGATCGAATTCGATTGAATTACTCTAAGCAGGCAGTACCGAAGAGTATCTGATCAAGGCTGCGGTTGGGAACAAACTCGTAGACGAGCAACCTCTCCTGCTGTTCCAGGCAGACGCCGACTAGACTGACGAGATTCTTGTGCTGAAGCTTGGCAACCAGGGCGAGCTCATTCTTCAGCTCTCCGATCCCTTGTGCTGATCGCCTTGATAGCCTCTTCACTGCTATTTCATTACCGTCCGGGAGAGTACCCTACGCCAGTCAAACCAATAATAATGCGAGCTTAGTTGTTGGCAATGACAACTTCAATGGAATATATATATGGCTTAGCTCAATCAAGCTCTGATATATATTGGCAAGTTTATACTTTGTACACTGCACCAAACCCGCCTTCGCCGAGCTTGTTACTGTCGTCGAAATCCCCGGTCGCAGCTCGCAGGGTGGAGATGTCAATGATCATCGATTCTATGCTCTCCATGCCTTCTGTTTCAGTGGAATGAGTGGGATCTGTTCAAATATCCAAGCGTGAGCAAGCCGATTGCCTTTACTTTCATCATGTTAATTACTTGAAGCTGCGACCTATATATGGCAGACGAGAGGAATAATTCGGCACTACATACTTGATTGGGTTCCTCCTGTTTGTGGTCTCCTCCTCCTCCACAAACAAAGCCAGATGAGCAGGTTAATGACCAGCAAAGCTGCTATGGTCGGCAGCAGTATTACAAGTACGGTGCCGGGGACGCTATACTTCCTCCCTGCCAGTGTTAAAGGGCATTTTGTGTAAAAAGAACTCTATGCCTATAAATTTGGAAGGATATAAAGAGTCTCTTGGAGTTGCTCTCAAGTATCAGTGTTCTGAACCTAAACTGATGTTATTTTTTTTAGAATCTAATACACTATGCAAGGCAGGATGTGTATACTATGAATCTATGATGAGCAATGAATTAGATCAATACAAAACATGAATTATTTTTGGCGTCAATTATACTAATAACTTAGTATATATAGCCCTGATTGCCATTGGTTGCTATGACTATTTAAATCTGTGAATCAGTATAGCATTTGAGTGAGATGTTGTGTAGCTACACTCCTTTGAAAAGAATTTATGGAAAACATTGACTATCAAAATGTTTTTCTTTAATAACCACAACTGTTTATTTAATTGTTCCACAAGACAAAACAACAGCTCCAAATATGTCGTCGTCCTCTCCTTCATTTTCGTGTGCCTTCGGTCAAGTGGCGATGAGAGTGCACGTTGGGACAGGCCAAGCAAATGGAACAAACGTGTCGTGTCTCTCTCTCTCTCTCTCTCTCTCTCATATTTTTAATTCCAATACATCCCACATGGTCCAACATGTGCCTCACCTATGTAAACATATCACTTAGGAGTATCACTAAAACAACTAGCCATAATTTGAGTATCTTTACTAAGTCGAAGACCCTAAACTAGAGTGCACAGATTCTACCATAATGAGACTAGCTAACTATCAGCGGAG